CCTCATATATCAGAATATCATTTCCTTTCCCTATGTTTGGGAAGTTTTCCTTAATTATTTCTGTGAATAGCTTTTGTAGTTCCTTTGTTTGTACCCCTGCTTCTTCATTCACATTCTTTATTCTCAAGTTATAGATCCTCTTGTCTTCTAGCCTTTCTATTGTTACTGCTTGTTTCCTTGTCATTTTAAAAAAGTTTTCCCTTTCCTAATCCCACACTGCAAAACTGTCCTCCAGTTTGGATAATCTATCCTTAGTTTCTTTCAAGCTGATTTGCCATGTTTCCTAGTTTTTAATTTCGTGGTAATCTCTTTAAATCTGCTTCTTGTATTCTATTTTTTTTTTTTTATGTTCTTCATCAAATGGTTCTCTCCTTTGAGTTCCTCCCTTCTTCTGTCTGCTTGAGGGGTACTTAGCATCTCTTTTATTAATCTTCTTGATAGTATTATTTCCAAAAGATGAAAAGTATTTCCAAAAGATAAGAAGTATAAAACAAAAAGCAGCCTTTATTCTGAGAACACGGAAAGAGATGACCAGCACCCTCTACTGCTGGAGTCCTGCGATCTCTCCGTGGAACACGTGGAGCAAGGCACATAAGTAGCCTGGTTTGGGGTGGAACCTAAAGGGGGCATTAGTGATGTACAGGTAGCCCATTGGTCCTAGTTTGGCACCATAGGTAAATTCCCAGGGGCGGGAAGATGGTGTCACAGGTAAATTCCTAAGGGCGGGGGAGATAGGGAGCTTCCTGGTTCTGGTTGAGGCTTTCCTGGCTACAGAGTCCTGTCTGGGCCAAAACCCTTTCAATTCTTATATCTTGCTTTACTAGGCTAAATATTCCCTTTTGAACTCGTCTATGAGGTCCTGAAGATATCTCTTTATGTCCACTGGTGCTGTGTCCGATATTGCGTGTTTGCTGTTCTCATTTTCCTTTGTATTTACCTCTCCTAGGTCAATGATCTCAGGGTTGGGACCTGGGGACTTTTTGTTGTTGCTTCCTCTTCCCATCTTTTTTGCTTCTTCCAGGAAGCCCCAGTTTCTTTCTTTCTTGGTTATAATTCTTCTGAAGCACATTGGCTACATAACCCTTCCCATTGCAGTGTTGCACTGTGTTAGTGAGTTGCAGACAGGGACAGTATATGCTGGCCCCTCCCTGCCGGGTCAGTCAAGCTGCTGTGGCCTGCACTGTATTACTTTGCACCACCTCCCCTCTGGGTCAGTCAAACTTCTGAGGCTTCACTGGGTTACTGTGTGCCACCGCCATAGTAACTTGATTTAGGTAACTTATAGGGTCTCAGCCAGGTCACATGACCCAGGCCTAGCTCACTCCACAATCCCGTTTGGGAAGGGAACAACTGACTGAAGTCACTGCTGTCCCTTGTTCTTGCCAGTCCTGCCTGGTCCCAGAATGTTGTCTGCTGGAGCCTCCCCTATTTATGGAATAGCTCCACTCCCATCACTCACCACAGGTCGATATAAGCAGTCTGCCAACTCAGCTCTCCATTTGGCTCGCTGACCCCCAATCTCAATGTAACTGCACCTTCAGTGAGTCTAAGTGGCAGGACCTCGGATGGTTGGTAAGTCGCCCGCTGCGGCGGGAACACTGAACCTTTAGCTGTTCCAATAGTAGCACCAGGACTGTATGTTTGGTTGGTTCTTCTCACCTTAATTTCTTCTTGGGACGAGACAATTCATCTCCCTCTGTTTGGGGCTCCCCACTCTGTATTATGTTGAATTCTAAGTTGATTATCTCAGGGAGCCTCTGTAGCCAGTTGTTATCTATCCGCCATCTTTGCTCCTTGGCCCAGTCACCAGGTTTTATAATAGGTCTTTTGACCTTAATTCTTCCCAATTCTATAAACTCTGACCAATCCTTCTACTTTTTGTGTACACATTGATAGGGCTCAAACCTAGAGTCTTGCGTATGCTAGACAAGTATTCATGGCTGAGTATGTTGCCAGCTCTGATGAACAATTCTTTTTTTTTTTTTTTTTTTTTTGCGGTACTGGGGATTGAACTCACAACCTTGCATTTGCTAGGCAGGCACTTATGCCACTGAGCTAAATCCCCACCCCCCCCCCTTTTTTTGACGAACAATTCTTAATTTGAGTATGTACCTGGTATATTCAACATAGTTCCACTGACTTGCTAGATCAATTACTAGTTTACTTACATTCATCAGTATTTTTAAGGAACAACAGGAAAGTCAGGCAGTAAAACCATAGGCTGTTAAGTACAAACACAAACATAGAAAGCAGTGTGAAGCCTGCTGTCTCCAAAGTAACAGGAAGCCAAAGGGACAATCACATATATTAGCTCACTCATTTGACTTCTCTTCTGAACTTTAGTCATCTACCAACTATCTTGCCTCTTTGACATCTTCGTGAATATCTAATTTACATTTAGAATTTATTATGTACAAAATGAGGTTCTTCATCTCTTCCTTCTAACCTATACTGACCTGGTCATCTCTGAGCAATGGCAGCGCTCTCTAGTCGGGTACTCAAGTCAAATCTATGAGTACTACCAGTTTTATGTGGATTTCTCTACTTTCCGTTTTCAGTGCTGCCCTCCTAATCCCACTCCATATCATGTTTCACTGGGACTGCTGGGAATATTCAGAATTCTAGTTTTCTAACCTGATTCTATGTTGCTTTGCTACCATCTATTCTCCATATACCTGCTTGAGGGGGTGCTGTCTTTTTTTTTTTTTTTTTTTTTTTGGTACCAGGAATTGAACTCTGGACCTTGCACTTGACAGGCAAGTGTTTCTGCTACAGAGCTATATCCTGGGCCTTGTTTTTCTTTTAAAGTTTGGTTTGGTGGGGGTTCTTTTTGTTGTTGTTTTTACTGGTACCGGGGATCGAACTCACAACTGTGCCCTTGCAAGGCAGGCACTAATGCCACCGAGCTAAATCCCCAGCCCCTTGTTGTTTCATTCTTATTTTATTTGAGACAGGGTCTCGCTATGTAGTTCAGGCCAGTCTGGAACTTATATGTACTCCCAGCTGGTCTTTAACTCACCACAATTCTCCTGCCTCAGCCTCTCAAGTGCTGGATTATAGGCATCAGCCACCACACTTGATTTTTTGTTTTTTTTTAAGTGCCAACTCCACTTGCAATGCTGGCACAACTGTCTTTCCAAGATGAGAGGCTGAGGCGGGAGGACTGGAAATTTGAGGAAAATTGGGCAACTAAGTAAGACCCTATCTCAAAATAAGTTCTGTTATTCCCTCTCCCTTGAAAATGTTTCCCCTTGGGCAACATACAGGTCATTCTCATCAATCAAGTATCAGTTTAAATGATTTCTTCTTGAGCTGGCTTTCCCTGTTCAACTACAGGGCCTTCCTCTCCGGTCTTACTTGTTTGTTCTTTCACAGCGTCTGAGAACCACTGATAGCCCTGCTGAGCTGTCCACTGATGGGTTATGTCCAGTCCTCTATGCAATGTAAACTCCATCCAGGTAGAAACCTTGTTTGTCATGAGTACCTCTTTAGAGCTGGGCACACTGACATTCCATTTTTGCTGAGTCAGCAAATGAACATTGGAGAATGAACTATTTCATGTAAGTCAACTACTTTAAAGTGTGTCTTTTAAGTATCAGCATTTATTTTAAACACTTTGAATACTTTTCCAAACATACAGTCCTAAAAATAATCGAACTTTTGTTAATGACTGAAAATAGTATTGTGGCCATTGATAGCTAATATATTTAGAGTCAGGAGAACAAAAATGGAACTAGGCTGACTCATGTCCATAACTCCCCAAATGTTGCTTAACAGATCAGCATATGCCGGGTAGTCCTCTGGCCACTGTTACAGGCCCATAGATGAGAAGACCAAGAAGACAAATTTAGAGCCCAAAAGAGAGTTCTCTTTTGCCCTTCCTGGCTGGTTATAAGGACATAAGTCACTCTGTTAGAGGCCAGCAGCTGTGAATGCCGGAAGATAAAGTGGACACTCCACAGGCTGCAGGAGGGAGATGAAACAAACATGAGTCCTTACTGACATCACGGAACTCTCTCATCAGGGACCCTGCAATTCATTCTTCTTAAGGCCAGCTGTGTTTTATAACTTCAAGGGAAAAGCATCCTGATGGGGAACCTCAGACAAAAAAAGCTCATTTTCAATCTTCTTAAAGCTTTTTAATCTACTTTTTAAAAAAGTATTCTGTCTCCATGAAAGACTGTCAACTATCACATCCTGTTATTCTTTGAAAAGATAATAATCATGTAACATGAGAAGTTCTGGAAAAGAACAAATCTGAGCTTTCCTGCTTACTGTAACTCTGAAAAAAGAATCATTTAAATTCCTATGGCTCAGAATCTTTTGTTAAAATCAGTAGTATAAAAAAGTCACTAGTATTTGTCAGGCATCGTGGTGTGTGCTTATAATCCCAGCACTCAGGAGGCTGAGGCAGGAGGACTGCATCATCATTACTACACTGCCATATATTAAGTAACTACTGTATTACTTTAACATTGTATAGTACTTTACAATACTGAGAAACTCTTAAATTCCTTCAAGGAGAGATGTATGTTTTTAATCTTTATAGTCCCAGTGCTGCTACACAATAATGATCAACAATTACTTGAATAACAAATTGATGAACTAATTAGTGGTATACTACCACCATCAGATTATAATCAAATTGGTAATTGGCTCTGAGTGGTCTGAGGAATACCAAAAAAGACCAGTACCTAACATTGGTCTAGCCTAAAAAAAAAAATGAGTCTTGGAGCAATCAACACCGCCACATTCTGGCTTGGTGTTGAGTACCAAAAAGCCCAATGATTACTGGTACAAAATTTTCACATAAAAATACAGAGTACAAATTAAACAAAGTTCAAAACAATCAAGTACTGAAGCGTGACTGTCTATATCAAGACTTTAATTCTTTCATGTGTTTTCTGAAAAGCCCTTCAGTAAGATATTAATCTCAACAGCAGCAGATGTGCTGCCCAAGTCTCATTCTCTAACAGCATCACCGTCCATCTGGCTCTCACCTGTTAAACTAGCAGGGTATGAACTTGGCACCACTGAGAATGAAGACGATGCTCCCCCAAAAGGAGTCACCCCTGAGGATCCCCCGAAGGGTGTGATGGAGAGACTGCTGAAGTTCGCAGAGGAGCCCTTCACTGAAGACGATGGCGTCACTGCAGGGTGTTCTGCCCCATACTGGCTGACACCAGCACTGATCGGTTCTGGGGTGTTCTCAGTTCTGTATTTAATGGCTGGACTTTTGTCTTCCTTACTTTTAATGCAGCCCATTATCAAATCTAGAGACAATAAAGCAGATATTTGGAGAATTAGTTAACATCCTACTTAAAAATATGACTGGGAAGGGACAACAGCCCCTAAAAAAAGTAGCAAAACAAAACCAGACAGCTGGAAACAGTATCTCTTCCCCTAATTTTTCTCATTATGATTCCGCCACACCATATTCTAATCACAACAGTCTTCAACTAACTCAAGTAGTCCAACTGTAATATGCCACAGCTGGGAAAAGCAAGGCTTTTAAAGTCAGTAAGGTCTAAAGGTGAATATTGGCTTCCGACTTAACAGCAGATTTTAGGTATGTTGCTTCACTTCACTACACACTATTACTGTACTTGAAAAAGGAGTTACCTGCTTCATATGGTTTAGGATTAACTTCCATACAGATTCTAGACAGTCTGGCACATAATGCTGTGTTTTTTCTACGTATACGAGCATTATAATGCAATAGAAATGTAATCCAAGTAACAAGTGTAAGCCACACATATTAAGCTTTGTAGTAGTCAATTAGAAAATACAAAGGAACAGGTAAACTGACTTTAATTACTTCAGCATGTAATCAACATAAGCATTTTCAACAAGATTTTTATATATATTTTTTTGTACTAAGTCATGGAAATCCAGTGTGTCTTTCACACATGTGGAACATTTTAACTTGGACCAGCCCAACACTTCAATAGCTGATGTAGTTGGTGGCTACCATTCAAGTCAACAGATACCTAATTCTTTTTCTTTCTACATCAATAGGCAAAGCAATCACCAACAGAGTGAAAAGACAACCTACAGAGTGGGAAAAAAATCTTACCCTGTTGTTTTTCAGACAGAGGATTAGTTATCTACAACATACAAAACATTGAAAAACAATCAGACTCCCCCAAATTTAAGGACACAATCCAAAAATGGACATGCAAAATGAACAGAAACTTCTCAAAAGTACATATGGCAAATAAACACATGAAAAAATGTTCAACATCACTGATCATTCGGGAGAGGCCAATTAAAATAACGCTGAGATTCCATCTCACACCAGAAAGATTATCAAGAAATCAACCAATAAAAAACTCTGGAGGGGCTGTGGAGAAAAAGGAAACTTTCTTACTGTTGGTGGGAGTATAGACTGGTGCAACACTATGGAATTCAATGTACAGACTCCACCAAATTTAAAAAAAAAAAAAAGGACTATAAGTTCCATTTGATCCATCTCTTCCCCTTCTTGATATCTTCCCAAAAGAATTAAAAGCATCATATCACAGTGATGTATGCACACCCATGTTTATAGAAGCACAGCTTGTAATAGCTAAATCTTGAAACCAACTCAAATGCCCATCCACTGACCAACTGATAAAGATACTTTTTTTTCAATGGAGTACCACTCACTCATAGAGAAGGATAAACTTGAGACAGGTATAGATAGCTAAATGAATGGACCTTGAGACCATACTCTTAAGTGAAATAAATCAGACAAACATGCAAAAATACTGTAGTCTCACTGGTGCGAGAAACTGGAAGTGTAAGTAAGAACCAAAATGAGATATTGTGAAATAGGAAATAATATTCAAAAGGAAAGAACTGGTGGAGGCAGAAGGAGAAAAAAAGCATAAATTGGAAACAAAGCTATGCAAATAAGGAGAAGAGAAGCTGAAGAGGGAAGAGAAATGGAAAAAAGAGGAACTGATATATATCAAGTACAGGTACAAATTCCTTATGATGAATGTGATCATTATGTATATCTAAACTGTAACAATTCAATTGTTTTAAAAAAAGGACATTGATAAGTCAGTTTATGAAATACAAAATAAAAAAGACATATCCTTAATGCATACCAAACTTTACCCTAACCTATCTTTCCAACTTCTTCAACATTATATCCTACTATTTTCTCACAAGCATTTTAAGCTTGCGTGCGCGCGTGCACACACACACACACACACACACACACAACCATTTTCCGAGTAGGTACATATTCCCTAAGCATTCCTGTTTTTGTAGGGTTTTCATCTTCCTAAAATTGCCCCTGTCCAAAATATTCTCCATATGTCTACCTGTTAAAATCCTATCCATTTAATGATGGTCATTATACATGTTATTTATAACTCTGGCTGTCTCTATAATTAGTAAAATTATCTCTTTTTAAAAAAACCTGGTACACACAAATATAAACACTGGATGGGTGGTGGCACATGCCTATAATCCCAACTACTGCGATGGCTACACAATTCGAAGGCTAGTGTGGGCAACAGAGTGAAACTTTATGTACTTCAGGGTGTGAGCAAGCTTGAGACCCTGGATTCAATTCCAGCATAGGGGACGGGAAGGAAAGTAGTATTAATTGGGTACCATGTAATGTTTTGACACATGTATTCACACTGTGTAATACGCAGATCACATTATGTCTGCAAATATTTTTTTTTCTGAGACAGGGTCTTGCCATGCAGTTCAGACTGGTCTTGAGCTTGGAATGATCTTCCTACCTCAGCCTCCTGAGTGCTGGGATTATAGGTATGAGGCACCATGCCCAGCCATAAATGTTTATGATGAGGTAAAAAAAAACCTTTTTTCTTTAAAATCACCAATGTAGTTTTGGGGAGACTTCTGTATGCACCTCTGACTTTTAAAAGTTTTTTCCAATACTGACTTATGACTTAGCTTTTTTTTTTTGTTTCTGTCATGAATTAATAGGGAATAGGTTTAGCATCACTGATCACTCAAGAGATGAAAATTAAAACAATGCTGAGATTCTACCTTACTCCAGAAAGAATGGCTATTATCAAGAAATCAACCAATAAGGGCTGGGGATTTAGCTCAGCGGCATAAGCGCCTGCCTTAAAAGCAGGCAGTCGAGAGTTCCATCACAGGTACTGATAAAAAGGAAAAAGACAAAAAAAAAAAAAAAAAAAAAAGAAATCAACCAATAAAAAATTCTTTTATTTATTGGTGCTTTACACAATTTATTAACTGCAATGGACTTCCATTTTACTTTGATACATCTTTTCCCCATGGTGATTTACAGAGCTTTAAGCTAACATAGGTACTCCATGAGTATATGGCCATTTGGGTACACAACTACACAATACCACAGCAGTATCTTTTAGCAAGAAAAACACTGAAGAGTAAAGACCCAACACAGTTAACTAGGTAGGATAAAATCTGCTTGAAGTATTTGTTTCTGAGGTAAAGGCACCACATCTGTTCAATTAAGAAAACCACCTTTACAACACAGGACGATTTTTTATTTTTAAGAAGGCCCTAGAACACTTAGCTGTCAATGAGATACGGAATGGCAGGACTCCCTCCCCAGATTAGGCCATGAATTCATAGGCAATGGGTTCCACAACTCAGGCCCCTTCCCACTGATGCTCACAAAGTGCGCTTCTCTGGGCGAGGCTGGCTGGTGCCTCAGTTGAACCCAGGTACTTCTTCTCTTGGTTTCCTTCTTTTTCTGATCATTTGGAAAAATCTTTTTTTTTTCTTTTTCGTTTTTATCAGTACCAGGGATCAAACTCACGACCGCACACTTGCAATGGAAAAGTCTTTTAAAACATACACAGAAGTAGAAATCTTAAAAGAAAAGACTAACAGATATGGGAAATAGGGAAAGTATCTTTGTATCTGACTTGTGTTCTTTTTTTGCTTTCAATATACACGTAAATGTACAGATATGAAAGTTTGTTGGCATCCTTAATGTAGAAAACTTTTATACAAGCAAATAAAATCTCCTTCAGGAAAATAGGAAACCAAAAGGTCATTCACAAAGAAATATGAAAGCCAATTACCATGTGAAAATAAAGTACACCAAACTTCTTAGTCTTTCAGTAAACGCAAATTAAAACAAGATACTTTTATTTGTTTATCAGATTGGAAAATTCTGACTCAATGCTCAAGGTTTAGGAGTGAATTTTAACCATTAATAAATATCCATAAAACATTAAAACTTCAAAAACTATAAAAATACCAGTACAAGGAATTAGCAAACTATGCAGCCTAAATATTAAGAACATATTAACAATTACATAAACTAGTTTTAGGAAAAAAAACCGTTATACAAGTGAGCAAAATTATGAGGAAAAAGTCAACAACTGTTTTAACTGATTTTCAATTGCACAGTGGGTGGGGAAGTATCACATCAATTCAAGACAAAACACTGTAATTAACATACCCTGTTTTCTTAGTCCCTCCTCTTCATTCTCTTCTCACTCTGAAACCATCCTGTATCCCCAGCTCCAAGTTCTCTCCATTGGAAGGCACTCCTTCCCCTGCCTTATCAAGTCTTCCACTACTACTCCTAACCTGTCCTCCAGTTCTTTCTCTTAATCCAAAATTTTTGAGCCAACCCCTCACACCCACCACTTACCCCTTCCAATAGCCCAGGACAGATCCTCCTTTTCAATCCTTTCTCTCAAAAGACCAATAACACACAAAAACAATCATTGCCACCCATCCTGTTCAGAAACATTATTAAAAAATATAGGATGTGACTTACAATTTTAAGTGAACTTCAGGTACAAATAGGAGTTAAGCAGATTTTTATGGGTTGCCTTAGAAACATCTTTTTATAGAAAATATATAGGAAAGTCTCTTCCAAGTTCCAAACTACTAACAGATACGTATTTATTAACAATGTATGTTACTGGATCCTGTAAAAACTGAGTATGGCAAGAAATGGTTTCTTTTCTTTAAAAAGATCACAAGTTATTATAGTAACCCACTTTGATTTCCTATTAACTTGATTTGAAACCCTGCATTGCTCTCACCATCTTGTTTTGACTGATTTTCCTCTATTCTGTTATGCTTGATAGTACCAAGTTCGAAAGTCTAGGCAACAACTATGAAGACAGTAAGATTCATTATGACGCTCATTCTGGTTGACTATTATCTTCTTTTGAAGTCCTCTAATGTCTCCAATGTTTTGATTTTATTGGTCTTATTCTTTACTGTTTTGTTCAATTTTATTGTAACTGATGATATAGGCAATTCTTTTTAAGATAACAAGAGGCATTATGGT